CTATAAAAAACTGTTCCAGCACTGGTCTGTACATAAACACAACCACTCAGTTTACACTAAACATTTCTAGAATTACATAAAAAGTAATTGTTCTACCACATTTTGGTTCCCTGAGAATAAAAGTGCTCTAACTACAAAGGTCTTTGGAATGCCATCAGTACAGTGAATTAACACACCTTTTGCACTGCTACTGTTGAGACATCTGCTTCTATGTTGATCAGAGTTGGTTTTGGAATTTTCATTAAAAATAAACCTTATTCTCCACAGAAGGGTCACTGGAATGGGAGCAAGACATAACTAAAAGTCTCATAGTAAAACTGTGATGATTTGTTATTAAAAACTACAATGAATAGTTAGCACACTTGATGAACAGTCATTAAGAGCACTGTTTACTTCATCTATTTAACCCAGAATTGAGATTGGTTTTGCAAATTTTGTATAATATTAAAGTTTTCAAATATGTTTTTGGAAAGCATGCTCTTTTCTTTTTTCCAGAGGGATAACTTCTAATGTTTATCATGTTCACTAAAAACATGAATGAGAGTTAAGACTTTAATACAATAAAACAGTGCACCACAGCAGAATGAAGTCAGGAACCATTTTATTTCCATCCAGTTTTGCAAGTATTAAGGATGGCATAAGAGCTCATTCCACCACTATAATTTATGAAATTATTACATCCCTGGAAAGAGGCAAAACTTAAAATGCTTCTTGTTTGTCCCTCCCAAGTGCTTATAATCTGTGTGATTATTTTATTTGTTTTGTCTTTTTATCCCTACCTAATACAAACATTCTTCATCCTCTTCCCAGCCAGAATACAGTAACTGGGCGTGGACAAGAAGCACTGAGGCAGTCAGAAGGAAAAGTTATAAAAATATTAAACAGCAACACATACTACACTAACACTTGGGATGATTACAACATACAGAAGACAACTTTGCAACTATATCATGTTCTGTTTGCCATCAGTACCTATGAAGGTCAGTACTGTAAGATTTGTTGTCTAGTACATGCACACAATAGTTACTCCAGATTCTTCCAATTCCTCCCAATTTCTAGGCAACAACGCATTTTGTATTTACTATTTTAAAGACAAAATACTAAAACTGGTTTCAGGTATTATTGTTCAACTGGTTTTAATAGCAAGATTCGAGTGGCATCTTCCACAATCATAGAATTAATGCTCAGTACTTGTCAAATGCTTTAAAAATTAAGGTATATTGGAAATTCACTTTTAGTACACCCCATGCAATTGAATTGTTCAAATAGTTTAAACTCCTAATTTAAAATATTCTAAGTTAGTGAAGAGTTCATATTTAGAAACTAATTCCAGTCAGTTCTTAGACCTTATATAGTAGGAGATGAAACTGTTTAAAATTATCACTATCAACAGAAAAAATTCCCAAAGGAAAAAAGTATATACACTCTCATTATAGCCAGGCAATCAACTCACCCATTTCAATTTCATAAACATTTATCTATTTCCACCAGTAAAACCCAATTAACAATTCATATTTCAGATTTTTCAAACATATGGATTACCTGTTAAAGGCTGTTTTTTTTTTAATTCTAAATTTTTCCTTTTCCAACTCAGTCCAATGCATTTAAGACTGATTTGTAAACTGCTATCTCTCCTTTACTTCTCTTCACCTATACAGATCTTTAGAGAGATACTGAGCAAAAGGCTGGTAGGATGCAATTGATGCAAAGTTTGCTTTTAAACTTAGCACTTATCTGAGCTTGTCTGCAAACGCTCTCTCACACGAGGTGGAAGTGTTTTTAACAATCTTTCTTCAACAATCAGACTATTCCGCTTTAAGAACTGACATTCTTCCAGTTCAGCAG